ACGCATTCCGTTTTGAAACAATATTACGTGTGGCCATTGCATATTGTAAGGGTATCAAGGCAGGGTGGTGTAGTTGTAGTACACTCGCCTCATCTCTGGGGTCTCGTGTTTGATTCCTCAGGGCTTGGCATCACATGTGAGTAGAGTTTGTTAGGCTTCTCCCTTTATTCAAGGGTTTTCTCCGGTTTCCCGCAAAATCTATTCAAAATTCGTTCTGTGAGTTAGCTGTGCCCTGTGCCCTGTGCCCAATATATAAATTCTTTGACTCAGAGCAAAAATTATTATAGATTGTGCGAAATATTTCAAGTGTATAGCAAGATCTTCATTCCTAAAAACTGTTTTTTAAACCAATGATGAAACGCGTTGCACGCGGTGCGGGACGCCCCTAAATTTTGAAAGAAAAGAAAATGAGCAAAAAAGAGTATTCCTAGATATTTTCTTTGGGCCTCCCTCTAAGGATGCACATTTTACCCAGTAACTATCATAAACCAGACACCATTAAAAATTGAATTCGATTTATTTTTTGAAAGCATTTTAGTTTAAAATCTTTTCTCGAGATGTTCGAGGCCCCGAAGAATTATTTTCTCAATCAGATTCTTTTTTCCTTGAGTTCTCTGAATGGCTTTTCTTCCTTACTTGTTTTAAATAGTCTTTRTCTGATTTTCTGAAGACGGTATTGCAAATACGGTGTTTTTGTTAGTAAGGAAACCACAAATCCATTGTGRAACGACTTTGAATATAAAAGGATCTACGAGCGTACGAATCCATTTATAATTTATGACCATCGGATTCGCAATCCAAAACGCCGTCGTTAACGAACAAGGGAATAAATCTCCTAGGGAATGAAACGATGTACGAATAGGAACATGGATAGGTCGATAAAGCTGAAGACTTTAGTGAATCTTTATATGAATCTTCTATTTATAAAATCGTCGTTACAATGAAATCGTCCGACGAGCCAAGGTGCGTTGTCTTGAAACTCAAACCTGGACAGTCTTGCTACATTGTAACTCGGAATTCCAAAGTGAAACTCCATTCGCATTCTCCAAGTCCACGAAACACGTGAGTATTTCTCAAGTATCTTCTCTAGTTCTTGGCGTTTCAGTTTGTGCTCAAAGAAGAAAAGAAAAAACGAAAAAAAAGGRAAAATTTCGAATGAAACGTCTCGGCACAACGACTGAACAACTTATGACGAACTTACCAGAATTATTCGCGAAGCAATTGTTTACAGTGATACAAAGATATATTACGAGAGCATTCAGCAATGATTTCAAGAATCCCTCGATTCCCATGTACCTTTTAGTCAACGTTATTTATTTTTAAAATCGCCTGTGTTGCTCTAAATATTTTTCACTCCTTAAAGGATGGGGTTACATATTTCTTGTTAATTTGAAATAAAAAGTAAATATACAGCAATTAACTCTCTATATCTAGTTAGTATATTGTTTCAGACGGAATAAACTAAAAATAGAATAAATAATAATTATTAATCCTACTTTAGACAATGTCACTATGACCCACAATGCACTTTGGTCATGGAATGCACTATTCAGTATGCAGTATTCAGTATTCAACCTTTTTTGAAATAGCTGTATATGAAACTATTTATATATGAGACTGAGGATTAGTGGTTTTTGTACTTTTGCTGGTAGAAAAAGGTTTAAACATGAATTTGGTTCACTGACAAATGGTGCATAGAATATTAAATTGCATTAGTTATGTCATCTTTGTTATCATCAACGTAATCATCATCACTATCATCATCATCATCATGACCATCATTACTATCATCACCA